TCCTCTTTTTTGGGTGAATAAATAAAACTTGGTTCTTACTTAGGAAAAAAATAGTATATAGCCTAGGTTTTCTAATGTCCTTTCCTAGCACATGTGTTGGTTATACGAGGATGAATCTGGATTTTGGAAATACGTTCAAGGTCATTCAAAGTTCATTTTCCTAAATAAAGTGAGCAAACCAGCAGGTGTAGGGCTGGGATCTGAAACAGGATGTAGCATGAGAGTTAACGGAACGGTTTTCCTATTCCCCCCACTAGACTACAAGCTTCTTGTTGGTGGCGCCCATCTTAGTCATCACTTTATCTCCAAGCCTGATACGCAGTCATTATTTAATGGGTGTTTGAGTGGATGGCTGGCTGGATGGATGGAGGACTAACAGTCTTACAGTGAGCCTTATTCTGAAAAATAACTTTCCATAAAATTTAGAAAAATGATTACACGTGTGGCCACTCTGAAGGTACGTATCAGCATTCTTTTCTGTTTAAGGAGGCCCCTGGCTGTATGGTTGTGGTGTACATGTTTGAGTAGATCAATGGTCTGTTAAATTCTTGTCTTAGGTTTTCTTATAGCCACTAAAGTGTGGTTGCTCTAAAATCTAGAAAACGTATAAATACAAAGTAGAAAATTCATGTCCTAGTAGACTGGCATTCAGGGGACTTTGGGGACTTTTTTGGGCACCATACCTGACTACTGTGTGATACCAGGAAAGTTAATTTTGGTGCTTGAATTTTCTCATCTGTAAAATGAGGGGATCAGACATCATCTTGGCGACATATCCTGCATAGTCCATTATCCTGTGTAAAGATGATGTCCAGCCACTTCTGCTTTCGTCCTCTAAACTGCTTACCTTGTGTCTCCTCACCGCCCACCACCATTTGGATCTTTCCTTCTTGACTAGATTTTAAGCTTCTCCTCAGTCACGGCACCCCAGTGGCATGTGAGCTGAGGATGGCCTGTGAAGTTAATCTCACTCTGGACTAAGTGTTAGCCACCCTGAGGCTGCCACGGTGTTTGGAACAGCTTTGGATCATGTAATTTCTGTGAACTTGCTTCCTGTCTGAGATAGTGATATGTAAGTTTCTGAAAAGTCAGTCAGAATTTGGGGGGAGATTTTGGAGTCTTACTCAAAACTAGTCTGAGCTAACCATGCTGAACCTTGCCCTTCTTTGTGTCTGGTGGGGATTCCCAGGGGGGAGCGGCTCAGCCGGCAGCATGATTGCCTCTTTGTCTTTACTTCCCTCATTCTCTTGGACTTTAAAGATAGTAGGATAGCAGAATAATGGCCCACCGAAGATGTGTGCTTCCAGATCCTTGAAATTTGCAAATACGTTATATTGCACGGAAAAAGGGACTTTGCAGGCTTTTGCTTAGAGCATCCATCTATGGTGGTGGAAAGGGGGGGATGCTGAAAGATCATCAGTATGACTTAGAAAAAAGCCTGTACGGAGTCATCTCAAAAAGAACACAGAGGTGTGTGGAAAAAATCGTTTGATAAGTAGTTTGGGATAAGAAGTAGACCCTAAAAGGACCTTCTTCCTTGGTGAGGTTTAGGTTTCACTGAATAGTGTTTGCAAGTCTGAGCTGAATTGCTAGAACCTGGGTAGGGGAATCGGAGTGCCCCACTGATGGTCCCTGTCACCCTTCCCTAACAGAGCGCTTCATCTGCCTTCTGTAAGACGGCTGAGCAGCTGTTTAAAGGCTTTCAGTTTGAAGGGCACAAAATTAGCCGTCTGGCTGGCATGCTCAGTCTCAGTCTGACCATGAAAGTATAACGAAAAAGAACAAAATCAGTAGGTCAATTTAAAGTACAGAAAAAGTTCTCCTAGAAGGCACTAAAGAAGATTCTTCCGTGGGGAATTGTCTTTTCTAAACTTAGCTATGAAAGTGTAACCAAAAGAAGTAAACGAAATCATAGGTCAATTTGAAGTAAAGGAAGAGTTCTCTTGGAAGGCACTAAAGAAGGCTTAATGGGGGAAGTGTTTTCTGAACTTGGCCATGAAGGAAACGAAAATATTATTTTAATGCAAGGGTTAACAACCTGTGGCCTGCTGGCTGGCTGGCTGACTATTTTTGTGAATGATGTTATATTGGAACACAGCCACACCCCCTTCATTTAAATGTTGTTTACAGCTGCTTCTGTACCGTAGTGGCAGTTGAATGGTTTCCACAAAGACTATATGGTCTGCAGGCTGAAAACATTTATTTTCTGACCCTCTACAGAAAGAGTTTGCTGACCCTTGCTCTCTTTTGTCTCCCCAGCATGTATTTGGTCAGCAGACATAATGAATCGGAAGTTTCAGAAATGGTTCTCAGTCTGTTTAGGGAATTAAGATGAAGATATTGATAGAGAGATGAAATGAACTTACCAGGGTCTCAGAGGGGCTCCTAAGTGTTGAAGTGTCTTCTTCATTCACTCATGTAGCAATTACTGATGCTCTGCTATGTGTGAATCAGTAGGCTGACGGTTGATCATAAAAAAAAAAAAGTTTCTCAGTGGTTTTGTTTCTGTTCTAATTGTTGAGCATTGGTAATCCATGGATATAGGGTAATTCCATGTCAACCAGAATCCTTAATTATTCAGAAAACTGGTCCTTGATCCAGCAAAATATTGTGTACTTAGTTAGATATCGACAAGAGCTAGACCAGAAATTTTAATTAACCTTTCAAACTCCCTTTCGATTTCTTCAGGATAAATTAGAAAGCCGGGGGTGTCTACTGGGTTCATCTGGAGTGAGGAGTAGTTTAAAGTTGACCCAGAAAGGTGAGCTGGATCAGGAATGATTCATTGGAGATGGCTTTGTTTTCTTGACTTTCCGGTGGGAAAGAATTCATGTAGTTATTTTTAGATATTCCTCTTCTCATTTATCAGTCAACTTTGGCAACATTGACTTATCTAACAGACCCAATTTGTAAATAGTGAAACAAATTCATGGGAATATTTAGAAACTACTTTCTTCTGTATATACAGCAGGTTGAGAGACAGCAAATTATTGGTAACTCATTTGCCATCCTAAGGCTTCTCATTTAAGGGGTTATAATGAGCTTCCTTTTTATAGATTGGTGACTCTGGTTGGCTTTGGGACAGGACTGGCACGGGTGAATGGAGAGAGGAGGGAAGGCTAGCAGGAAGCAGGTCCAATGCAGGGGTACCCCCACTGGGCTTGGCTTAGAGACTATCCGCACCCCTCTGCCTGTCTTCTCAGGTGGCAGAGCACAGAATTTTCCCAACAAAAGCAGAATTTGTGTCTCTTAGGAGACCGGTCCTTCTCTGCTGGCTACATCAGAAAATACAAAACAGATGTGATTGGTGGTGAGGAATTGGTGACATTTCCATGAATTTGGGACTTAGTGAAACCTTTTCTCTTTTATCCCCAACTTACAGGTTTTTTCCCACCTCATCTCCCCAAAGTGTATTTGGTTTTAATTTCCTCTGAATGGTAAAGAATATGTTAATAGATTTTTAAGAATCAACTCAAAAAACACCCAAGTGTTAAAAATCCTTTCTGTTTCCTTCCCCTCCCCAAACTTGAATAGCCCCTGGGTGGGTGTGGAGGTGGGGGGACTCTTTTGTACTTTCCAAACCTGCTGTTTGCACAAGTGGCTGTTATGACTGCAGCAACAATAATTGCTCTTAAAATGCCTTGATAATAAAAAAAAATCTATTTTTATTTCGTAATCTTGAGGCTCCTTGGCTTCCATTTTTCCGGGCCACTTAATAACTTCTGAAAATTAGCCTGACAAATACGGTTTCCCAGCTTGATCAAAGAACAGCTCTTTGTCAGGGGCTTGGCTGTGTGTGTGGAGGGGAGCTGGGGAGAGATGGAGGGGGTGGAGTTGTGAAGAGGGTGTAGGGATTTGATTCCTAGGTGGCAGCTGTTTCTGCCTTCACTTGACCGCTTAACAGGAAACGTAAAGTAGAAAATGCACTTTCTAACACTCCCTTGGGACTGCCTCTGTTTCTCCAGGCTTGGCTGAGAATGAAAGGAAGCATCTCTTGTTCCTTGACTGTTCTTGGTGCCCACAGCTGGTTGCTGGGCTGGCCAGTTCAGATCTTTAGCACAGTGGAGGGCCCAGCCACACTCAGCTGGAGTGTTCTGTGTTTCTATAAGCTGTGCTTCTAAGAGGATGTGCTCAGGCGGAGGCTGGTGGACAAGGGCTTATCAGCTTTGAGAGAGAGAATTCCGCCCGGGATGAAGGTGTAGTAGGCAGCTTCTTCTGGTTCTCAGAGTGCACAGTTTGACTCTTCGTGGATGCAGCATCCAGACAAAGCCAGCTCTGCATTTGCCTTGGACAGTTCACTTGAATTGCCTTCACCATAGTGTTGGTCTGACTTGGGGATGCCCTGGAAGTGGGGGCTCTCAGGGAGAGCCATCTTAGAGGAGATTTCGGGGGCTGATGATGGTGCTGGTAATTGAATGGTAGTTCCTGGGCAGACCTGCCCCTAACATCTGGGGGCCCTGGACCCGGGTACCAGCGGAGGCCTACCCCAGCTCCTTTTGTAGATGAGAGACCTCAAGACACCCAACCTGCAAACCCCCACTCCCAGTCTCTAGTGGCAATGAGGATTGATTTGTTTGCATTAAGACAGATCTTCCCAGTCCACAGGGATGAGGAATGGAGGTGGGAGGGGCATGCCCATTCAAAACAAGATTATTTTATGCAAGTGCAGACAAAAAGCCCCAAATTACTAAGAAATAAAATTACTCCTTAACTCATAGTAAGGAAAAAAGAAAAGATTCATCTGGACTCTGCGCTGTTAACCAGACAACTCCTAACCTCCTGTTAACTGCAAACTAACTTAGATTTGTTCACATTGTCCTGATCATTGAAATACCAGGCCTTTATTTTTCTTTTAAAGGCTTTAGCTCACTTTAAAATGTTTTCAGGTACAGTCCTCCCTTGCTGTAGGCAGAGGATTGGTTTTAGGACTCACTCCCCTCCGTCTTGGACACTAAAATTCAGGGATGCTCAAGTCCGTTTTATAAAAAGGCATCGGTGGGGGAGGTATAGCTCAGTGGTAGAGTGTGTGCCCAGCAAGCACAAGGTCCTGGGTTCAATCCCCAGTACCTCCATTAAAAAGAAATAAATAAAAACCTAACTACCTCTTCCCACCCCCAAAAAGTAATAAATAAAAGAGGTGTATGTAGTATTTGCATGTAACCTACACACATCCTTCCATATACTTTACATGATCTCTAGTTTACTTATAACACCTAATACAATGTAAATAGTTGTAAATGCCATGTTTCCCTTTTTGGAACTTTTCTGGAATTTTTCTTTCTTTCTTTTTTTTTTTTTCTGAATACTTTTGATCCGCGGTTGGTTGAATCTGCGATGTGACACATGTGGATGCAGTGGACCAACTGCATTTGGAAATTCGAGGAGATGGTCTAGAAAAACCTTGTAATTTTCCCCTGGCCATGTGTGAGTTGTCCCTTCTCGTGGGGTGAAAAGGTAGAGTGAAAATTAAGTCAGGCTGCAGGTTGCTGTGCGGTTTAGACTGTCAGTTTTCCAGGAGGGGGCTGCTGAAAAGTTAATCCCCTGGTGCCCCAAAAGAGTCATTCCGATTTCATTTTTGAAAGTTGAACTTGAAACTCTATACTTTCTTTATAATTATGCTTCTTATTTGGCAACATATGGTGAAAATTTATACGGCCTATCAATGTAAAAGAACAGAGCTGAGGCTCCAGGCTTTTATGGTGATTACATCTACCTGTATGGGGGCTTTATGTGCTTACAATTTGAATCATTTATAGATGCACACTCAACAGAGTTCTAGCATAACTAGTACTGTGGGGTTTTTTCGCTGACTAAATGATAGGCAAAGCAATTTTCAACAAATGTCTCCCGGTAGGCTGTCATCCTAGAAGCCTTGTAATATTGTTTTTTAACCTTAGCACTGGCAGCTATCCAGAAATTACTGCATTGATACCAGGCTGCCTTGCACCAGGCAGTTGCCCTTTTCTCCATGGGACCCCGGCGAACTCTCACGTGGGTGCCTGCTCCCCGCCTCCCCGAGCTCCCTTGTTTTTATTTCGGGAGATCTTTTACCTGTTCTCGTTCAGCTGTAGGTAGCCAGGCATACTGGAAGTTTTAAATACAGCAAAACAATTCCCTGGATTGAATTATTATGCCTTTAATGCATTCAATTAACATTCAGGGCTTTGTCACCAAATAGATGACGCACACTGGTGGCACAAAGGGAAGGAAGGGAAAGGCTTTGTGGGCTGTTTTTTTTCCTTAGGCAAAGTCAGATCCGGCTTCCTTCTTTCTTTCTTCCTTCTCTCCCGGCTCCTTTCCTTTCTTTCGCGTTCAGAACCTCTTGTACGTGGCTTTTGGGAATTGCTAGGTCCTGATACTGTCTCTTTAGGAAGGATTTTTGAGACTTCTGGGGAAGGACTGAGTGAAACACACATCCTGCAGTGTCCCCCTTTAGGAAGTGGGCAGAGGGTGGGATCGAGCAGCATTTTTCAGGTCTCTGCAGGACCATGGTCCCTGGTGGGAGGAAACGGCTCCCTCCCATTTGTCTGCAGCGCACTGGCTCCAGTGCACCTGATTTCCTGGGAGCCCAGCACTCTTCTTGAACTCCAGCAAGAAGGGTGCTCGTCTCGTCTCTCCTGTCCAGGTTGAGAGAGGAGCAGTCTGGTGATGATTCAGTTCTAAAAGTGTGATTTGGAACACCCACCCCGTTTTGGGTACACCCGCCCTGTGTCATGGCGGGCACCGGGCACTTCACAGAGAATGAGTGATTCTTGTCTTACTGAATGGGAGTGGGCTGCTGTGTTCACGTGCTCTGTGGGCTCTGTGCCTGACTCCTGAGTGCTTCCCCCCACTGCATCCCAGTTGCCACAGTGAGCCCTCCCAGTGCTCTGGTTCCCTCTCTGCCTTGCCTGGGGCTGTCATCGGGTTGGAAATGCCTCCCTGGGGGGCATTTGTCTTCTCCTAGAGAGTTATGCCCCTCTTCACCTTCATCGAGAAAAGAGTTCTTAAAAAAAGCTCTGGCCTAATGCATTTGCCTTGACCTTCTAAAATGATGAGTGCTATAAATGGAGAAATAGATAACTATTATATATGCATGGTTCATAGGAAATTCTGTCTTTGGCTTAGAAAAAGGCATTGTACTGGATGAAATTGGAAATGTACACTGTGATAGAAAATCAGACTCAAAGCGTTGAATGAAATTGTGAAAGTCAATGGTTTTCAACCTACTTTCCTTATTTCTCTGGCATGAGAGATGTTCCATTCAAGAAGTGTCAATGAATGACTACTTGAGTGAATTTCAGAACCTGTGTATGTAATAATTCTGCTACAGTTGACACTTGAAGAGGATACAACTTAGGGTAGTTATGTATCTATTTGCAAACGTCAGTGTTGCCCCCAAGTGTAGAAGGTGCTGGGGGTATAGCTGGGGTGGGGGTGGGGGGTGTGGAAGAAGGACAGAGGGTGGAAGCTTTCTATGACAGGCAGGAGGACAAACATGTCAGTGAATGGAGCAGAGTGTGCTGGGGCTGAGGGGATGTTACACCTTTGGTAAACAGGATAAATGTGTTAGTCAAGGAAGCTCCTTGAAGGAAGTGTTTCTTGGGCTATGATTTGGAGGAACAGCAGTGTTGTGTGCCAGGTGCCTCCTGATGAGACCTGCCCCCTCAAACAGTTGCCCTTTGTTGGGGAAGGATCTTTATTCTACCTTCAGGTCAGTGAAGAGGCAGAACCAAGTCTCTCCTTGCAGGTGGATTCATTAACTAGCCTAGGGAGCCTGCTTAAGTGCATTAAAAATACTCAGTTTCTTGCCCACTTGTTTTTCCCTTTCAGTTGTGGTAATATATGCAGGATTTACCGTTTTAGCGATTTTCGGGTGTACAATTCAGGGGCGTCAAGTACTTTTACATTGTTGTACAACTATCACCACTGCCCATCTCCAGAACTTTTTAATTTTCCCAAACCGAAACTCTGTATCCTTTCAACAGTAACTCCTGACCCCCCTCCCACCATTCTGCTTTCTGTCTCTGTGAATGTGACAGTTCTGGGTACCTCACATAGTGGAATCATTACAATATTTGTCCTTTTGTGTCTGGCTTATTTCCCTTTTGCCTGCCTCTCTGGACACTGGTTTGTCATAGCTAGGAGCCTGTGTGTCAGGGATGCTGGCATTTGTTCTTCTGAACCTCAGCTTCTGTGGGCATCTCTGCATGTGGCCAGACCCCTTACCCTGTGGGTCTTGGTTTAAATGGTGTTGCCTCAAAAGGACCCCACCCAGCCACCCTATCTTGAGAGATTCCCCTTCCCCTCCTCCTTGGTTCCTGTATTTTGTGCTTGTTGCCTTCATTTCTCCCTCCTATCTGCGTGTAATTGTATATGTAGGTTTATGGTTTCCTCCTTATTGACTGGCTGGTCCACCAGATTATAAGATCTGAGAGCACTGGGGCATCTACCCTCTAGATTTCGATCCGGAGCGTAACCCGGTGCTTACGTATCACATGGTAAGGACTCAGTAAACACTTGGGGTGTGGTGGAGGGTCTGGCTTTGGCCGAGAAACCCTCATGAGGTCACACGTGTGGCTGTGTTTTGAGTGCCTCAGGTATAAGTGCTAACTTCATGCTGCCATTCTTATTAGAGTCTGCACAACCTTCACATAAAGTTTCCATGTCAGATGCTTAGATTTCGAACTGCCCCCTCTCATAGCCTGACAAGGTTGCAGAGGGCTTTCTTCTAGTCCCTCCATGGTTGTGGGCTCAGAGAAGACAAACACATTTTCATATCAACCTAACTAACACAGTTATAAGCTAAAACTGCTCCAGAAAAGTCAGTCCCTGCCTTCTAGTGCCCAATAATAAACAAAACGATAAAATGCGTCATGGATGAGTGCCTTCATTAGATTATCCAAGCCACTAACCCCTAGATTATTATGTTAATTAGACTTTATTAGTATTAAAAATAAGATGGCAGCTTTCAGGCCTGAGGAATCAAACTATAACTCCTTGAAGAAGGCTGAAGTCTCAGAGAGGCCTCCCTGAGCACCTGGTCCAACTTATTCGTTGTATGAAGGAGAAAACTGTATGCAAGTGACATCAGGGGACCCCAAGAGTTCTCTAGAAATGCTGGCCAAGCAAGGACTGCGACAGGGTTCTGGCCTCATGACTCCACATGGGCATTTTGGAATGAAAAAATAATGTGCGAATACTAAATATACACAGAATATTTGCATTCAGGAAGAGTTAGGTCTTTTTCTAGAATACTTGGTGCTTTTATTAACTAACGAAACTATTGCCCTCATTTTTTTAAAATACCTCACTGCCTTTAAACCTCCCCCCCTTCCATTGAAATGCAATGCTTTGATTATTTAAATAGCAGTTATCTGAACACACCTGTGAAAAACCTCAAGTTACCCCTTCATTGAGTTCTAACTTCAAAGTTCCCAGGAACATTACTGGTTCTTGAGAAAAGGACTGCGACACGGCCCTGTGTGAACAGGTCATCTTCCATTTTTCTGGGTAATAGCTTGAAGGGACATTAGCTTGAGCCAGGCTGGCAAACTGAAGAAGAACTTGAAGTTTGCTTAGAGCTCGCAGGGGCTGGAGACATGAGCTGCAGTTAAAATTGTTCTGTTTCTTTGGGGGAAGGTTGTATTCCTTGTAAATACTGGACTTGCCTTTGCTGGGGGAAAAAAAATCTCATTCCTTTTATGTTTTGTTCACCTGAAATGCAAATAGGAGTTTTCTCGCAATTAATTAAGCAGGTGATAGATGGCACTTAAAATGAACATTCAGCATTTCCCCCGTCTGTATACAGAGTACAGAGATAATTGGATGGGAAACAATATGACATTTAAATGTGGATTTTTTTTTTTTAAAGAGCCTTTCCCCTTTGACTTCTCTAGATAAGACACATTGGCCTTTCAGAATTGTGTAATGTCACAGACATATGTGTAAACCAATCAGTCGTGCCACACGCCCTCATTTTGTAAATGCTCTGCTCATTTGGCTGTTGGCAAGACCTTGCTCAGTGGTGCATCAGTAATTAGGAGCTGCCACCACCTCTGCGTGAAGTAATGTGGCTTCTTTCACTTGTCAC